CCAAGAAATGCATGACTCTGGAGACCGTGAGGCTGTGCTCTCAGATGAGCACAGGGAGCGCAGAAATGACTAGGAAGGAGAAACATTTGATATCTGAGGTTAGGAGTTTCAAGGCTGGCCACTGTGGCTAGAAAAGAATTGGAAGCTGATGGATGCGAGCTTGAGAGCCCTGCTGAAGGCTGGAGGCTGTCTGCGGAGACGACCCCGTGCAGGTGTGGGCAACAGAGCCCGCAGGGACAGAGCAGGAGCACGGGCTGGGATACAGAGGCCTTTCTCTGAGGAATCAAAGGATGGGTCCAGGGGACACTAGAGTCCTGCAGCCGGGAGTGCCAGCGCGTCCTTCTGGGCATGCTGCGGGTGGGCTGCCCTGTGTGGTGGGCCGGGAAGTGTGCACTCTGACTCTTGCCCTCTGCCTCCTGCAGACGGCCTTTCCCTTGATGATGACGCTCTTTGAGTTGGCCAGGAACCCCTCGGTGCAGCAGGCCCTGAGGCAGGAGAGCCTGGCTGCTGAGCCCAGCATCTCTGCGGATCCCCAGAGGGTCACTACAGAAGTGCCCCTGCTGCGGGCAGCTCTCAAGGAGACCCTGAGGTAGGTGCCAGCTCAGCCATCTCTAGTCCCTTTCTCCTCTGCTTAGGGGACTTGAGGACAGAGATGGAGACATGAACAGCCTTTCTGGGAGTTCGCTGTCCTTCCCTTTCACTCCCTCATGGCGCAGCCCTCTTCCTCTAAGTCCTGTGGCCACCATCCATGTCCTCCTTGCCCTGCACTGCCACATGGGAGGAGATCGGGTAGCTCAGCAGGTACTCAGCAGGAAACACCCTGTCAAGATGCGGGATAAGTTTCTTCTTGTGGTCCTGTGTTAGGAGGCTGCAGAGGAGATCGGAGGAGACTGGGCCCAGCTGGAGCATCACTTCTTGCCTCTTCTCCCCAGGCTGTACCCTGTCGGTGCTTTTCTGGAGAGGATACTGAGCTCAGACTTGGTGCTTAACAACTACCTCATTCCAGCTGGGGTAAGTGAGTCCCCCACTGGGGGGAGCCATTGGCAAGCTGCCCCTCAGGCAGTTGACACCCCCCTCTGGCCCTGGCTGCAGACCTTGGTCCACTTGTGTCTGTACTCGATGGGCCGAAATCCTGCGGTGTTCCTGAGTCCAGAGCAATATAACCCTGAACGCTGGCTGGACAGCAGGCAGAGCTTCCGCCACCTGGCTTTTGGCTTTGGGGTGCGCCAGTGTCTGGGGAGGCGGCTGGCAGAGGTGGAGATGCTGCTGTTTCTGCATCATGTGAGAGAGCCTGGGCGGGTCCATGGGATGAGGCGGGACCCTGGCCAAGGTGCCTGGAGGGAGTCTGAGGACAAGGGCAGGCCTTGGTAGAGGTGTGGCGTGGCATTAGTGGGGGGAGCCTTACAGAGCAGGGAAAGGCTGGTGCTGGTTGGGTCCTCCCATAGTAGTGCAGAGCCCATGTGGTGGGTGGGCCGGGGGCTTGCAGTGTAGGCTCTGAGTTGAATCATGGGAGGCGCTGCAGAATAGGGCAGGGCCTGGCCAGGAGGGCTTTGCAGTGTGTTGAGTCTGCTGGGGAGCACAGGCTGCTCCTCCCCCAGTCTGGTGGCAGCACTTAGGTGTAGTCAGGACCCTGACCCTGCTGAGGAGCCCGGATGTAATCCATACCTCTGCCCTAGGTTCTGAAATCATTCCACGTGGAGACACCGCACAGAGAGGATGTGAGCTTGTCCTATCGCTTTGTTCTGATGCCCACCTCCTTGCCTCTCCTCACTTTCCGCCCTGCTC